TCAATGTGCACGTCTGTTGCCCTGAAAAGCCTTTGGTTCAGGACTTTCTAAATCTGATCCACTCTTTAAACCTGGTGCAAAATGTTGTCGGCCCCACACACCATCAGGGTCACACTCTTGATATTGTTCTGTCTTGTGGTGTCTCTGTGTTAAATCTGGAAATTGGGGATGCTGTCATGTCTGATCACAAACCAATCTCATTTGTAATACCTCTTGCTCATGTTTCTAAATCTCCTGCTCCACCCAGGACCTGTCATATATTTAACCCTTCAACTGCTGCTCATTTTTCCTCTGCCTTTATTACCACTGCTGCTACAACACCTGCAACCTCTGCCTGTGTCGGTGCTCAAGAGCTGCTTAGTAACCACAATGTGACCTGCACTAAGATCTTGGATCTGGTGGCCCCACTAAAAGTCAGGAAACCAAGGAGAGCCCAGTACCCATGGATGAATGAGACCACCAGGGCAGCGAGACGCCTGTGCAGGAGAGCTGAGCGCAGGTGGAAAAAGGACCAACTCCAGGTTTCTTTCATTTTGCTCAAAACCTGTTAAAAAAATTACCAGAACACTGTCAAATCTGAAAAAAACAAATATTTCTCCCAACTCATCAACTCAAATAGACACAACCCCCGCGCCCTATTCAGAACAGTAAATTCCATTCTAAATGTCCCTTTAGTCCCTTCGTATTCATGTATGGAGGCCTCTGTTGACACCTGCAATGACTTCACTAAATTCTTTGTTAACAAAGTGGAGTTGATCAGGGCCTCCATCCCCCGCTCCTTAGTCGACCCATCAGCTTTTGTTTCGTGTTCTGCTACTTTCAGGCAATTCAAACCAATCACACTCCCATTGTTAAATCAAGTTGCTGGTCACATAAAGCCATCAGGATCACCATTGGACCCCATCCCAGCAACATTGTTCAAACAGGTTCTACCAGCGATTGGGCCTGCTGTTCTAACTATACTAAACAGTAGTATTGCTACAAGCGTGGTCCCAGAGGCATTCAAACATGCAGTAGTCACACCGTTAATTAAGAAACCTGGTCTTGACCCTTCAGCCTGCTCAAATTACAGGCCAATCTCAAAACTCCCCTTTCTGTCCAAAATCCTGGAAAAAGTAGTTTTTACTCAGTTAAATCAGTTTTTAACTGAGAACAAAATCTTTGAGGTCTTTCAGTCTGGTTTCAAGCAGCTCCACAGCACCAAAACAGCTTTGGTTAGGGTTTGTAATGACATTTTAACAGCAAATGATTCTGGCCATTTTGTGGCTCTTGTACTCCTCGATCTTACTGCCGCTTTCGATACTGTTGACCACAGTATCCTCATCTCTCGGCTTGAACACTGGGTTGGGATTACAGGTGCTGCATTAGACAGGTTCCGCTCATACCTCTCTGACAGGAGTTTTTGTGTGAAGGTGGGTAAAAATCTATCAACTTCAATGCCTCTTTCCTGCGGTGTCCCGCAGGGCTCGATTCTCGGACCCCTTCTATTTTCACTCTATCTGCTTCCACTGGGGTCGATCCTAAGAAAACATGGTATTCCATTCCATTGCTACACCGATGACTGTCAGATCTACCTGCCACTGAAACCAGCCAGAGCTTGTTCCGTCCACCCTCTCCTCAAATGTCTGGACGACATTAAGACATGGATGGCTTCAAATTTTCTAAGTTTTAACGACCAGAAGACTGAAGTCATTGTCTTTAGCCCTAGCTCAGCTGCCGCCTCTTATCCTGTGAACCTGGACTCCCTTCAGCCTTATCTGAAGCACTCTGTTAAAAACCTTGGAGTGGTTTTTGACTCGGATTTTAAGTTCGACAAACAGATCAGTTCAGTTCTGCAGAGAAGCTTCTTCCAACTGCGGCAGGTAGCTAAGCTCAAGCCAGTGCTGTCTAGACTCGACCTTGAGACACTAGTCCATGCATTCATCACAACCCGCCTGGACTATTGTAATTCACTGTATGCTGGGGTCAGCCAGGCCTCTATCTCACGGCTACAGCTCGTCCAGAATGCTGCAGCTCGGCTCTTAACCGGTACACCGAGGTATGAGAACATCACTTTAGTTCTGTCCTCCCTACACTGGCTTCCTGTGAGAACTAGGATTGATTTCAAAATTCTCCTCCTGACCTATAAGTGCCTAAATGGCCTCACACCCATCTACCTCTCTGAGCTACTGGAACCATATGTTCCCTCTCGGGCTCTGAAATCATCCGATCAGCTGCTTTTGGTTGTTCCAAAAACAAGACTGAAGCTCCGAGGAGATCGGGCGTTTTCAGTCATGGGCCCCAAACTGTGGAACAACCTACCCCCCAACATTAGGCATGCCACCTCCCTTCCTGTGTTCAAATCCCTGCTAAAAACATATCTGTTCTCTCTGGCGTTTCATACTGTGTGAGTTGATTTAGTATATCTTGTTCCATGTCTTCATTTTAATGCTGTTGTTTTAATTTTTCAAGGTATATTCTTACTGCTTTTTATTTCTCAGTGTTACCCTTAGTGTTAAGCACTTTGATAACAGTCCATCTGTTTTAAGTTGTGCTCTATAAATAAATATGACTTGACTTGACTAATTAGATTAATTGAGTTTCATGGACAAATATAATTGTGTATCATCGGCATAACAATGAAAATGTATGCTGTTTAATAACTTTACCAAATGGAAGCGCATTCAAGATTCAAGTTTCTTTTTTGTCATTTGCACCACATGTGGTACATGCGGAGGAATGAAATTGTGTACACAGGGTCCCAGTTATATCCAACAAAGTATTCAAATGAAAAAGAAAAACAGTAATAATATCTAAGGTATGAACTAAGACAATGTAAACTAAAAATAAAGTCCATGCTCAACTACAAACTAAACTAAAAAGAACCTAAAAATATGCTAAGCACTAGTAGTATAAAAACAATATGTCGAACAGCAGGACGAACATGAGTCTGTGTGAGCAGATGAGCACAAATGAACACAGCAACATGAAACAGATCAGCAGCAACATGAAACAGATCAGCAGCAACATGAAACAGATCAGCAGCAACATGATGTGATTTTTCACAGTGATTCTTCTGGTTAAAGATTCATAAGTCTAACACCCTCAGGGTAGAAGCTGTTCCTCAGTCTAGTGGTTCTACATTTAATGCTCCTCAACCTCTTTCCTGAGGGGAGTGGGGCAAAAAGTTTGTGTGCTGGGTGAGTGGGGTCCTTCATGATGCAGGTGGCCCTCTTCCTGCATCTAGAGGTGTAGATGTCTGTGATGGTGGGGAGGCTGACTCCAACATCTTCTGTGCAGCCTTCACCACTCTCTGTAAAGCTTTTCTTTCTGCAGCTGTGCAGCCTCCATGCCACACGTTGATGCTGGAGCACAGGATGCTCTCCACTGCACACCTGTAGAAGGAGGTGAGGACTGAGCTTCCCAGACCAGCTCGTCTCAGCCGTCTGAGGAAGTAGAGTCTCTGATGAGCTTTCTTGATCAGGCTGGCGGTGTTGTTGCTCCAGCTGAGGTTGTCATTCAGGTGCGCACCCAAATACTTGTAGCTGTAGACCACTTCCACTGCAGATCCTCCTAAGTTTGTGGGGCGGGGGGTGAGGGTGGTAGGTGTGTTTGTTCTTCTGAAGTCCACGTCCATCTCTTTTGTCTTCTTCACAATGATGAGTCGTCGTTCTTCCTGCACCAGCTCTCCAGGTGTTCCACCTCTTGCCTGTAGCTGGACTCATCATTGTTTGTGATGCATCCCACCACCGCTGTATCATCTGCAAACTTTACAATATGACAGCCTGGATGGGTAGGTGCACAGTCATATGTGAGCAGAGTAAACAGGAGTGGGCTCAACACACATCCCTGGGGGGAGCCAGTGCTGAGGGTTATGGTGGAGGGGAAGTTGTGGATTCTCACGGACTGTGGTCTGTTTGTTAAGAAGTCTAGGACCCAGTTGCAAATTGGGGGGGGGGGGGGCTTAACTTAGCTTAGTCCTAGTGTGGATAGTTTGTCCATCAGTGTTTGGGGGATCATGGTATTGAAGGCAGATATGAAGTCCACAAAGAGCATACAGACGTAAGAGTCTTTCTGCTCCAGGTGGTTGAGCGCAGTGTGGACCACAGAGGAGATGGCATCCTCTGTTGATCGATTCTTGCAGTATGCATACTGGTGAGGGTCCTCCTTGATGTTGATGGTTGTCTGATGTGGGTCGTGACAAGTTTTTCGAAGCATTCAGCGCGTATCGGGGTGAGGGCCACTGGCCGATAGTCATTCAGACCAGTCACTGTACAGCTCTTTGGGACTGGGATGATGGTGGCGTTCTTCAGGCAGGTGGGAACTGTCTCCAGGGTAAGTGAGGAGTTAAAGATGTTGGCCAGCACCTCGCAGAGCTGATCGGCACATTCTTTCAGCACCTTCCCGGGGATGTTGTCTGGGCCAGTTGCTTTGTGAGGATTAATCCTCCTGAAAGTACTCCTTACTTCGGCTGAGGTCACGCTGAGAAGCTCTTCTTCCAGTGGTGAGGTGAGTCTGGTGCTGGGTGGTCTGTTCATGTGCGTAGAACTTGTTGAGGGCATCAGGCAGTGATGGTTCTCTAGGGCATTGTTCACTTCAGCCTTTATAACCTGTTATACACTTAATGCCCCTCCACATGCTCCGTGGGTCTTGTGAGGTGAACTGACCCTCGATCCTCTGTGCATATGGAGCCTTGGCACTCTTAATATCAGCAGCAAGCTCTTTCTATAGAATAGCTCTTTCTATATATAAAGTAGAGTACTGATACAATCACTGAGCGCTGAGGAACTCCATAACTAACTTTGGTGTATGAAGAAGATGCATTCCAACATTTTTCAGTCAGGTCATCTGGACAGTTTCTTTTTTTGTGTGCTGAAACATTTCGCCTTCGATCCAGAAGGCTTCATCAGTCAAGGAAACACACAACAAAACTGATTCTTCCCCCAACAGCTTACTCCAAAGTGGAACAAACCAGTTATGTTGGTGCTAAGATGGTCTCTTTGCATGCCCCCTCCTCCATTGCCGGCCCTCTTCCTTGTTGACAGTGGTGTCAAACTGGTTGAAAACAACAAAGTCCATGCTCAATAATCCAGGTATACAATCCAACATTTTTCAGTCAGGTCATCTGGACAGTTCTTTTTATTGTGCTGAAACTTTTAGCCTTTGATCCAGAAGGCTTCATCAGTCAAGGAAGATGGAAGAAGATGCATTATTTATATTTACAAACTGGAATCTATCAGATAGAAATCTAATGTAGAGGTAAAATATATCAGTGTTAGTAACAATATCTTTGTCGTCCTCAATGAAATGCATCGTTTGTCTGAAATCTTTACTTCTCTGCACAGAAAAATAATCTCAGCTGCGGTCAATACTAACCAGACCTTCACCAACGTGACTGATTAAACAATAAACAGGGAAGGGTGCTTCTTTGTTTAATTTATATTTTTGTAACACACTTGAAAATTTTATGGTGAATAGTGGAGGATAGAACATGTGAACGCACGTGAGGAAGACTGTTTTCATGACCAGTGAACCACTTGTAAACCTTCTGTGGGACTATACGTATAGGTGGATCTGATTAGCTTAGCTTCATGGTTGCTAGCAGCTGCGCTAAATAAACAAGCCCTACTCCACTAGCTGTTTTCTTAGATACTTGGGGGTGGACAAACTCAAATATTTTCAGCCATTATATCTGTCATCTGTGTTTCAAGAAAGAGTAAAGCAATCATTCTTCAGTTTGTGAAATAAAAATAGTGACAAACTCAACAAGTGCATTACATTTTATAGTTAGTACATATAAACATTCCATAAAACTTTTGTATAACAATTGTGTGATATTTGATTCATGATGGTGATGTTGATTAGTTTTTAAAGGATAAATTAACCTTTTCACTGACCTCACACATAAATATATCGAAGATCCTTGTGGCGACAGACAAAGGAAAGGAGGTGAGGAAGATGGTGAGGAACCAGGAGGAGGCATACATGGAGGTATGAAAGCTCTGGGCCTGGAAATGCATATGTAGCTCAGGGAGATGCTCCTGCGAGGGAAGAAACTCACGCGGGTTCACATCATCACAACACTCACAACACTAAGGTTTTGACAAAGCATTTGTTGGATACTTAGTGTGCTGAGTCTACCTGGATCATGCATTCAAACTGGTACATGCAAAGACCCAGTTCTGCCATACTGGGTTTGAAGAGCTCTCGTAACTTATAGTCTTGCATCAACTTCACAAACACGCAGAACGCCTCCTCTTCTGGCATCTGGAAAAATAACACAGATGTATAAAAATCTGAGGGATACTCAGTTACACATTAAACCCAGTTTGCAAGGAGCAGGCGGATCAGAGTTTTTGCAACATTTGTGGTGAATAAGGTGTTACCTGCATGAGCAGCAAACCCACGATGAAGGCACTCCCCTGACAGTAGCCCACCTCACGATCCACCAGAGAGTAAGCCTAAAGGAAAGATTAGATTGACACAAGTCTAAAGTTCCACTGCAGAACCTTAACTGCAAACTATTGCTTCAAATCAGTTTGTGTCGTCTGTATAAATATCCGTCCGTTACATATCAACAAGTTTCTTAGAAAGAAGGAGTCGTACCTTCATGACATTAAAGAGCACTTCCTGACCCAAACTGTCCTTCTCCTTGAAGAACTCATGTTCAGGATACGTGCGAGCAATATCCCTACGTATCAGCTTCTCGCACGGCGATGTCATCTTCAGGAGTTCTGAGTACTGGTCTTTGATAGGCATGCTTTGGGCGTTACACAGAAGCTGCCACACAATGGCCCGAAAGTGGTGAGGAATGCCTTTTCTCACCAGTTCCTGTAGAAAAACATCACAGATACCAGCAAGTGGGTGAGGTATGTGGTGATGCTATTCGACAAAGTCTGCACTTTAAATTTCTTACTGTTCAAAGTCAGATTAACATTTTAATGGGTCTTTGAACTGTAATACATTTAATACTTAAGAGGAAAAAAGCAGTTTTATGTGCTGGACATGAGCAGCCATTGGTAACATGAAGGAAATGGTTGATGCAGGTTGTGCTACTTCACAAGACAGAAGACCCCAGTTTGTACTTACATTAAATTCAATTCAGTTTATTTATATAGCACCAGTTCACCACAAAGTTATCTCAGGGCACTTTAAAGAAACATTCACATATATATAAAAAGCCATTTAGTAAATTTCTCTAAGGAAGCCAGCAGACTCATTGAATTTTCATTTTGTTGCAGTCTCCCATCCTGAACAAGCACAGTGGCAACAGTGGAAAGAAAAACTCCCTTTTAAAAGGAAGAAACTTCCAGCAGAACCAAGCTCAGGACAAGCGCCCATCTGCTTTGACCGGCTTACATGGTGGTACAATGTTCTTTTTCATGTTATACCTAGAGATGCACAGATCTGATAACAATATCGGTATCGGTACCAATATAGAAAAAAAAATTCTGGATCGGGTATCGGTGACAATGTGACCGATCCATGACAGGGCAGATCTACAGTGCCTTGCGAAAGTATTCGGCCCCCTTGAACTTTTCAACCTTTTGCCACATTTCAGGCTTCAAACATAAAGACATAAAATTTTATTTTTTTGTGAAGAATCAACAACAAGTGGGACACAATCATGAAGTGGAATGAAATTTATTGGATGTGTCAAACTTTTTTAACAAATAAAAAACTGAAAAGTGGGGCGTGCAATATTATTGGGCCCCCTTGCGTTAATACTTTGTAGCTCCGCCTCTTGCTGCAGTTCCAGCTGCAAGTCTCTTGGGGTATGTCTCCATCAGTTTTGAACATGGAGACACTGAAGTTTTGCCCATTCTTCCTGTAAAACAGCTGGAGCTCAGTGAGGTTGGATGGAGAGCGTTTGTGAACAGCAGTCTTCAGCTCTTTCACAGATCCTCGATTGGATTCAGGTCTGGACTTTGACTTGGCCATTCCAACACCTGGATACGTTTATTTGTGAACCATTCCATTGTAGATGTGTCTTTATGTTTTGGATCATTGTCTTGTTGGAAGATAAATCTCCGTCCCAGTCTCAGGTCTCTTGCAGACTCAAACTGGTTTTCTTCCAGAATGGTCCTGTATTTGGCCCCATCCATCTTTCCATCAATTCTGACCATCTTCCTTGTCCCTGCTGAAGAAAAGCAGGCCCAAACCATGATGCTGCCGCCACCATGTTTGACAGTGGGGATGGTGTGTTCAGGGTGATGAGCTGTGTTGCTTTTACGCCAAACATATCGTTTTGCATTGTGGCCAAACAGTTTGATTTTGGTTTCATGTGACCAGAGCACCTTCTTCCACATGTTTGGTGTCTCCCAGGTGCTTGTGACAAACTTTAAACAACACTTTTTATGGATATCTTTGAGAAATGTCTTTCTTCTTGCCACTCTTCCATAAAGGCCAGATTTGTGCAGTGTACCACTGATTGTTGTCCTATGGACAGACTCTCCCACCTCATCTGTAGATCTCTGCAGTTCATCCAGAGTGATCATGGGACTCTTGGCTGCATCTCTGATCAGTCTTCTCCTTGTTCCAGATGAAAGTTTAGAGGGACGGCCGGGTCTTGGTAGATTTGCAGTGGTCTCATACTCCTTCCATTTCAATATGATTGCTTGCACAGTGCTCCTTGGGATGTTTAAAGCTTGGGAAATCTTTTTGTATCCAAATCCTGCTTTAAACTTCTCCACAACAGTATCTCGGACCTGCCTGGTGTGTTCCTTGGTCTTCATGATGCTCTCTGCGCTTTGAACAGAACCCTGAGACTATCACAGAGCAGGTGCATTTATACGGAGACTTGATTACACACAGGTGGATTCTATTTATCATCATCAGTCATTTGGGACACCATTGGATCATTCATAGATCCTCACTGAACTTCTGGAGTGAGTTTGCTGCACTGAAAGTAAAGGGGCCCAATAATATTGCACACCCCACTTTTCAATTTTTTATTTGTTAAAAAAGTTTGACACATCCAATAAATTTCATTCCACGTCACAATTGTGTCCCACTTGTTGTTGATTCTTCACAATTAAAATTTTATATCTTTATGTTTGATGCCTGAAATGTGGAAAAAGGTTGAAAAGTTCAAGGGGGCTGAATACTTTCGCAAGGCACTGTATTCACTCTAATTCTTTGCTTTGTGCTCTGAGTGATGTCACGCGCTAGTGTACTGACTGAACAAATTTAAGTTGTGTTGTTTTTACATGTTTGAACAAGCTTGTGAAGCTCTTGGTGTGATTAAGCTGTTATGGTGCAGAGTTTTCAATAAATTTGTAATTCAGTACATTCATGTCTGCGTTTAAAAAAAACAAACGTTTTAAGTTAATTCAGCACTGGGTTTGTAAGCTCCATCATCCAGGTAGACAACAAAAATGGCTAAATCATGTCATCTGTACCCGTTTCAGAAATGAGTCCAGATGACATGACAGTCATTTTTGTTAATTCAGCACTATTTTTCTGTATTAGATCGGTATCGGCCAATACTAACCCGCAGGTAGGCGATATGGCTCAAATATAATGTTGTAATATTTCAGAGCATTCTGACAATAACGATAAATGTTGTGATATAACAAAAGAATAAAAAAAAAAAACAGAAATCATAGTTATTCATTTGACAAAATTAACTTAACATGCTGCTTTGCAGTTTATATAAAAACTAAAAAAACATCAAGGGTTAGTTTTACCAAAATTACTTTATTTAGTAAAGTATTCAGTCTCAAAGTATAAAAATTAAAAATTAAAATGATCCTTCTGTTATTTAGATTGAAAAAGTCTGCACAAAATATAGATCAATAAAAATCCACCTTAAAACTAAAGTGCAGGTGCAGTTTTCCAGAACATCCTTGTAAAAGAGATTGATGATCTCAATGGATTTCTTCCTGGTAAAATAAAGTAATTTTAAAAAAAGTTTCCCAAAATGACTAAATAAAATGAAGCTTAAGATCTGTTGATCATAAATGTAACATAGAACAAAATATATGTTTCCTTTAAATGAGCTGTAGCTTCCAGAACTTGCAACAAGGTGATCATCTGACCCTGAAGCTGGTGGAGTTTCATCTGTTCCTGCAGGAATGATTCTCTGATGCTCCGTCTCTGATCACCTGACTCTGTTCTTGCTCCATGGACCGTGACCTCAAGAGACTCAGCTGAGCTGCGTGTGTTTGTTTTTAGCTTTTTAGCTAGCCAGTATTGTGTGCAGCTAAATGGCGTTACGCCAGTACCGACAGGTGGATTTGGAGGGGCAGTTCAGTTCAGTAATTCAGCACGCTCAGTTCTGTTAACGGTGGGGGGCGACCCCGCTTGCATAATGGTAGGGGGAAACACTGACGTATTTACGTCATGAAATTAGAATATGATAAAATGTATTTTCCCAGGCAAGCTTTTTTTACTGGTATTATCGTGAATGATATGATATGGCCCAGTTCTAGTTATACCTGAGAGAAACATCAGCCGAGGAGCTGCAAACCACTGTAGTACACTGCACAGCAACTGGGGTTGAACGAGTATATCATTTTTAAACTCGACATTAACATAATAAAACCCGAGTAGAACTCGAGTATTTGATGACGTCATAGATCTCAAGATACAAAAATAAATAAATTAATAAAATTGCAAAAAAGGTCATTATTTACAACAACAAAAAAAAGACCAACAAAACATTGGGAGCGTATATTATGCTCCTACCATTTATCATACTGCAAATAAGTCACAGGAAAAACTAAACTATTAGTTATTATTATTATTAAGCTGCAAACGTGAAGAAACATGCAGCATGTCAAAAACGAAACTTAAACCGAAACTGGTTCTGTGGATAGGACCCGGTGTTACACCATACTCTGTGACCTGCAACAGTGCAACACCGCCCCCTACGGTCATACGGTGGTCACATAATATGACGTCACTGGATACTCGATGTTAAAATTTTAACCTCGATAGATGTCCTAGCAATCTATGTGTAGATTACTCGAGTACTCTGTTAATGCCCTAACAGCAACAGCACAGTTGGCAGAGACGGACGTTTAATTTTCAGTTGATGAAGAAGAAGATGGTCATTGAAGAAAAGTGCCAATTTGCAACGTTTTCACAACAAAAGACAGCCTTCATTTCTGTCGGTGAAGGAACGTGTCCTCATGCTGCCCGGCTGAGGTTACTCCCTCTCGGACAGCACAGCCACGAAGAGCTGCCTGTGTCTCTGCCAATTCTCCTCCGTGCACAAACATGTACAGGTCCTTCTCAAAAAATTATCATATTGTGATAAAGGTCATTATTTTCCATAATGTAATGATAAAAATGAAACTTTCATATATTTCAGATTCATTGCACACCAACTGAAATATTTCAGGTCTTTAATTGTTTTCACAATATCCCACAGGTTCTCTATGGGGTTCGGGTCAGGAGAGTTGGCAGGCCAATTGAGCACAGTAATACCATGGTCAGTAAACCATTTACCAGTGGTTTTGGCACTGGGAGCAGGTGCCAGGTCGTGCTGAAAAATGAAATCTTCATCTCCATAAAGCTTTTCAGCAGATGGAAGCATGAAGTGCTCCAAAATCTCCTGATAGCTAGCTGCATTGACCCTGCCCTTGATATAACACAGTGGACCAACACCAGCAGCTGACATGGCACCCCAGACCATCACTGACTGTGGGTGCTTCACACTGGACTTCTGGCATTTTGGCATTTCCTTCTCCCCAGTCTTCCTCCAGACTCTGGCACCTTGATTTCCGAATGACATGCAAAATTTGCTTTCATCTGAAAAAAGTACTTTGGACCACTGAGCAACAGTCCAGTGCTGCTTCTCTGTAGCCCAGTTCAGGCGCTTCTGC